GCATGCATCCATCCATCCCATCATCCATGCATCCATCCATGCATGCACCCATCCATCCATCCATCCATGCAAGCATCCATCCATCCGTCCATCCATGCATGCATCCATCCATCCATGCATGCACCCATCCAACCCATCATCCATGCATGCAGGCATCCATCATTCATCCATCCATCCAACCATCCATCCATGCATCCATCCACCCATCCAAACCAACCTAACATGTAACAGTTTCAGTTTGGTAATCTCTTAGTCCAGACTAAAAATAGGTTAACATGTAATTAAAGCAATAAACTGTTTAAGAATAAATCTTGTTGATTTTGAGCTAAATGTTTACATGCCAGTGTCATACAGTGAGTAAATATTCAATGAATATGCTAAACAGTTTGACAAAAAAATAATCTTGATTAAATTTATAATAATTTTTCATTTAGTGCTATCACCAGTGATTAAACACGTTTAAAATTATATAAAATTGTCATTAAAAAGCAAGAATACACCGTAGAAACACATGCTTTGTACAAACATAATATTGTATTGTTCATGGAGCAAATCTTAAAAATATATATATATAAAAACAAACAAAGTTATTGTCTAACCAGAGTACTGTGAACCTTAATTTAATCAAATTGTTTACTTTCTTCCTCACAAACATCTGTTTCCTCCTCCTTTTATTTTCCTGGAAACCAAACTCATAAAATTAGATCAAATTAATTAAAAATTAAATTAGACAAATCCTTTTATAAACATGGCCTGGGGACGACTGGCTTACGTCAGCTTTAAATTAGTGCTGATTCTCTGTCATCCTATCCTAAATGGTTCTTTAAAAAGCGTGTAGAGTTCTTTTACAGGGCAGCACAATGGCAGTGGTTAGCAGCAGGAGGATCCTGGGTTCAGTCCCCTGTCTGGACCTGGTGGAGTGTGCGTGGGTTTTCTCTGGGCTCTTCCTCCTTCAGTACAAAAACGTGCATGTTAGGCTGCCTGCAGGCCCAGGCCTCCTTTACAAACAAGATCTGTGAGTGAGATTAGCCTGGTTGAATAAAGGCTGATACATTTTATGATGATTGTTGTTCAACGGTCATAATAATATGGCCATTAGGGCCACATGGGTCACTGACCCACCCCTCCATCCTGTGAGTTGTTTGGGTCACGGTTCCTAACAGGTAAAATCCTTACAAAACTAACTTCAGCGCTAATTGAGGATAAAAACAAAAAGCTTGGAAATTAAACCAGAATGCGCTGAATTTATTGATATTGGAACAAAATAAACATTAAATGTTGAAGCTTCTTCCTTGTACTTGTACCAACACTGGGAGAAAATGCATTTTTCTGACAAGTTTGTTAGTGTTGGTCATTTGGTGGAAAATAAATGCTGGAGTTTATCTCAAGCCAGTCAAATTGAACATTCAGAGCTTAGACTCAGTTTTGCTCGTTTGGTGGGTGTACAGACAGCTCTGCTCTTTTCCATCCCCCATGTTAGAGTTAATGTTAAACGAGCAGGCCCAGGCTATAAAAACGCCATTTTAACCATTCGTGTCTCACCCAGGGACACCCTGACAGGAAGCTGGTGGGTGTGAAGCGTTGGAGGACGACCGCTCTGACCTCTGAGCCCCCGACGCTCCAGCTTGTCACAACTTGGGTGATTTATTTTGCGCTGCTCCTCGGTGTGCCCTCTAAATGTCAAATGACCTTCTGACCTTGCTGGACTTTGCTGCTTCCAGAGAAATTTCAAACATTTATCCAGCAGTGCTCCACCTGTGGAGCGGCGTTTTATATTTAAGGGTCTGGCGTTCCTTGAAGGAATGCATGTCGCCCTCCACGCCAGAGATTTACAATAAATTCATCTTATAGTTATTTTTGTCCAACATTGTAAACTGTGTTTAAGTGCAATCTCAGCACTCAGAGATTGTGTTGAGCATCAGCCTCAGCTACTACCACACCATAATTGCTCTAATGGACAATGACTGAATTAAAGCTATTTTTGTGTTGGATAAGTTCAATCCACTGTGGCAGCCATCTTGAACTGTCTTGACCCCAAATGCAAAAGAGTAATAAAAGTACAAGCAATAATTACATTCGGAGAGTTTCATTAAATTCTGCCCAGTAGCTCATGAGATATTTTGCTAACAGAGGGTTAATGCCAAAGTTTCAAGCAAAGAAGTTGCTTAATTGATAGGGCTGAAAGAATGTGCTTGGGATGATGCTCAGCTACTACCACACCAATATGTATCTCCAAATCTGTAAAAAATTGTTGAGCGTTGTGTTTTCTAAGGTTAGTCCGCTGTGGCGGCCATCTTGAATTGGGTTAATCCCAAAAGTAAACCAGTAAACGTGAATTCAGAAAGTACTTCAGGTGGTTTGACACAGTTTGTCCCTTCGTGTCTGACGAACCAGGAGCCTCATCCATCCAGAGCAGACATTTTCTCTTTTACACAAAATGATGGAACACCGAGTTAAAATCTTGGTACGCTTTAGCACCGTTCTGTGCATTACAGGAGCCACTGGTGTGAAAGACTGGTTTCAACATACCAACTTTTAAAAAAGGCACCAGAAGGTGTTAACAAATGAAGCTCTTCTACAAACTGGTTGTTCCTTTCTGAGGTTTGAGGCTCCCCCTGCTGCCTCTTTGAAGGAACTCAACATAAATGTTTCAAAAAAACGAAAACATTATATTTTGCCTGTTTTAACTTAAGTTTTAGCTTTTAGCTATCCTTTTGCCAGTTTTAGCTTTTTGTCTTGACTCTTAGCTTTTTTAATGTCCTAGCTTTAAGCTACCGTTTTAAGTAGCTTAAAGTAGTAAGGGGGCCGAGATAGGGCAGAGACAGAGCAGCTGACCTGGGACCCGAAAGTGGCAGGCCCGATCCCCAGCCACCCCCACACACCGCAGTGCCCCCGAGCAAGACACCCAATCCCCAACCGCCCCCCGGGCGCCCACACAGCCAACCACCGCTCCATCCGAGAGCATCCCAGGCTTTAAAGATCTTTCATTTTAGCTACTGTTTGGAAGGATTTAGTTTTAGCTATTTATTTTAAGGTTGTAGCTTTTAGCTACTAATTTAACCTCCTAGGACCTGGCACCCACATATGTGGACAACCTGGCACCTACATATGTGGACAACCTGGCACC